TCAAGTGTTATTTGGTTTGCGCGTGTTGTGTTGTACTGGAGAATCTTGCTTTTTAATTTATATATATTGAGACCTGCTGCTGCACAGGCTACTGCTACACTGGTCATCTTCTCTTGCACTTGTTGCTGCATTTGCGACAGAAAAACCAAACCATTGGCGGAGTCCATATCATCCATCTGCATCCTGGTTGTCCACTGTATTCCGTGCTTCCTTCCAGATGTTGACGTCTTTAAAATCCAATCGATCACCGGGAGAAAGAGAAAGAGGGAGAGTAAGCAACCCTGCCTGTTATCGGTTTTCACCTCGAACTGGTCTGTGAGCTATCCTCCGTGCACGACTTTGCAGTTAAATCAATCACAAGGATTCCCGTGTGATATTGAATATCTTCTCAGGCACACCGTGTTGTCTAATTAGCCTCCATCATGTGGTCTTGTGCACGTTACCGAATTCTTTCCCGTAGTCGATGAAGATGATGCAGAGTGACAAGTTTCATTCAACTTACTATTCCAAAATGATATATAAGTTTGAAATTTGGTCGGTATACGATCGATTCTCACGAAATCCGGCCTGTTGATCTAGAAGTTGAGCGGCTACGAAGACCTTCATTGTGTTTAATAAAACTCTGTTGAAGTCCTTGTTTGGAATCAAGTGAAGAGTGTCGCCTGTGTAGTTCTCACACTTGTTGAGATCGCTTTTACTTGTTATTTTGACTAGGTATCCTTGTTTTCAGTCTCAAATAACAACATTTGACAAGAGGCATGTCATTTTTACTGGCAAGAGTAAAATGTTAAAATTGCTAACATGTTTTCTGTAGAGGGTTGTTGATAAGGTACTTTGACCTTATATAGAAGGCTGAGATTTCACACATAAAATTATAGATAATGTTTCAGACTCTGCAGTGTACAATTCGACAGTTGGCGCGAGTTACTACGGGTACGTTACAACGAACCACCGATACGACATTAATCCAGGTTTGTGTATAACCAGAATATGTTAAGATCTGGTTGATATTTGTCGGCTAATTAATTTAGAGGCTCCTACTTAAAGAAAGCAAGTCTTTGGCAGTTATCCAGACCGATATTTAAGGATTAGAATAAGGTGCTGAGAAAGTGAAATAAATAGGAGGGGGCGAGAAGCAGAACAGAAGAATATTCTTGTTTAAAGCTGATTCATGAGGCCGCTGATAAGATTTTTGGATTAAACAAGGGTATGATAACTGAGACCACTTTGGTTTACGAACACTAATTGTACCCCTGCACTTCTGTTGGTTAATGAATGCAAGTCACTAATAGGATAACAAATGGGCAATTAATCTTATGAATAGAGGAAATTCAGAAGCACTGAATTGTTAGCAGTGATCTGATGCTTTAGTTATATTTTGTTTATTCATTTTCTTTTTAACGCTCTAGCTCAAGAAGTTATGAATGAGCTCTTTTTCAGTATGATTGTCCAGATCTACTTGTAATAGGATCTCTTGGTAGGAAGTTAAAACCAGTGCAAGGTTACAGACGAGGTTAACAAGTAAAAGCAAAATCCGTATCACTGGTTAGTTACATCCTGCTCTATTGTAAGGAGCCGTAAGCAAACGAAATGTTCTGTCACATAGACATGGATAGATAGAGGTTATCGTCCCACCGTCATGAACGCTGGTCAGATACACCACCCTTCCTCCTTTTGTGATGTTAGGCTCCCTTACGTTTAATGGTAGATTTTAAACCATGTTTTTTAGTCTACACTCTACTTTTGTACACCTCGTCTGAATACTTATTCTCTACTGCTAGTCGAGAACAGCAGAATGACGCTCATGATATTCTCATGCTGTTGATGCCATAGAAGAGCTTTCCTAGAAGTTGAGAATGAATTCAGAATAAAGATGAAAAGCGTCAGTACATTGTCTGGGTACTGAGTTGTTTGTAGGTAAGGGTGAATTAGTCTGTGAAGATCGGCCACTCATAACAGATTTAAAAACCTCGACATTCACAGTATACAACAGACCGAAACTAGTATTCGGATGTGACTACGGCATCACCTATTTCACAAAGCATCCTGCAAGACTTCAAAAGATGTTTGTTGTCCAACTCAAAATCCGCTGCGTAAACTATGATCTCACCATTAATAGGATAAGATGGAAGCCTGTGATAATCTGACTAAAACTCTTTTTAACCTATTCGTCTGACACTTTTTAGTGTACTCTTGGTGGATGTAGTAGAAGTATTATCGGTAATCACGAAGATTAGGGTTCAACGAAATTATTCAGGAAGCATAATCCAATGAAATAAATTTGAAAAGGGATGGATGAAGGTCACCAGGAATTCAGATGACAAAGAACAGATTCATCTGAACCAACGCAAACGATTTTGAGCCATGTCATTCAAAGTCTCCAACCACCGGTTACTATCGTCTCATCGACTCCAACCTGATAGTCTACACCTCTCAACATGGCTCACTTCAATTGCCAATGACTCCATCAATTTGTGATATCTCTTGGTTCAACCACTCGGAGCTTCCTTCCAGCCTCGCACTACATTAGACAACATCGGTCGTCGTTGTAGTCGATGGTTCGCACAAGCGTTATTATTATCTCGAATTGCTTCAGGTTGGGCATGGCTGTCTCACTATTTCTTAGCAAATAATATGTACCTCATTCAATGGAAATAGTGAAATTGATAGGAATTGTGTGACATTTGACACTACGTAACGAGTATTTTGAGTAGTGTTCAACTTCTAAAGTTAATGTGTGTTGATAGAAACTTTTCAAAGGCTATTGAAATTCATTATCATAGAGACAGCAAATGGGGAAATTTGCATAAGTAGTAAATCTGCATTAATTTCGAATCACCAAAAGTATCAATAAAACATTTTATGAATATAATAATGAAAATAGATTGATAAATTTGTGTCAGTTATTTGAATCGTTCCATAGATAGTTAAAACTACAAATGATCAGTCTCAGTCGGTATGTATGCTATTGTGTGCTATTGTCTCTGCAAGACCACCAAGTGACGAGTACTTTAAGCAGTGGAATCCAGTATGCATGTTTCGTTCAATTTTGAACTGGTCTTTAGCCAGATGTGAACATTCCCTGTGAGATGATATAAGTCATCCAACTCTGGCTATAATTAAAATAGTTATTCACCATATTATCACAATCAAATCTATGAATAATACATTCAATATTGTGAAATACGAAATATTTCACATACAATTTTTTCTTAATTTTTACTCAATCAGTGAATTAAAAAAAAACCAGTAAATCACTACACATATATGAATTAGTTAACGATCAACCAAAATGGCTACACATTGAATTTATTTGAATCAAGATAAACATTCCATATTCATTTATGATTTAATTATGTCAATTTTTCTTCAGTACAAACTAGCGGTCTATTTGTTTTAGTTGTATAATTTTTTACTAACATATCTATCTCATCAAAAGAATTCACTTTTCATAATTAATTAGTCTAGTAAATCTAAAAGTTCAACTTAGGCCAAATTATTTCTAATTGATTTACATTCTTTGTCTATGTCTTGTTAGTGTAATAATTATGGTCACATAATTAATTAATTTACTAAGTATTTTGAAAATATCAAAACTTAAATAATCTTCTTACTACATATTCCCATTGTGAATATTGGAACAATGTTGTTTCCAGTTAGATCGATTACAGATGTGACAATGATTTGCGTGGAATATATATGTATGGAAATGTTAAACCGAGAGGGACCATTTACGATTGAATAATTACAATGAAGGAGATGATAGAAAAGATAAAAGTGTATGATGATTATGGTAAGACAGGCGGTAAGGATGATAAAGTACAAAGTAACAAAAGCCCATCATCCGAACAATGAAACATATATCCGAATAAAATATATCCTTCAATAACACACTACTTAAATCATCTGCACAAAAAATTATGCTTCTTTTCAACTAAGAAGCCTAAACAGTACATTTTGAAATCATTGATCAATATTACTTAAATCATCGCAATAAAGCAGTAAACTATGGCCAGCTCGTTTGTTAATCTACAGCCTATTCTAAATTTTCATCCATGATTAATCAATCTTTGCATTACGGGATGGTGAAAATTGTTAAGTTACACGTTTTTTGAAACCATGAATCGATCAATGTTAGACCACCATTAGAAACCTGGAAGAAGCACTGGACGGCCGTTTCTTCCTGGTATGGAACTTCTCAGCAGTGCGCATCCACGACTCCTGCACCCCGCAGGATTCGAACACAGGACCTTCGGTATTGTAGGCGAACGCCTAACCATCAGACCACTGAGCCGGTATCTAACGGCTTTAATGTCTAACTTGATCAATTCACGGAGTTGCGCAACCTCGTACACAGTCTTCGGTAGTAGTTACTGTCTACACCCGAACAGGTTGAACTTCACTAGTCACGTCTTCCCACTAAAACTCGGAGAAGATTTCTCACGAAGCTAGTCACTAGTCAGCACAGGTAATTTGCATTATGGGGTTGTGAAGATTGTTAAGTTACACATTTTTTGAAACCATGAATCGATCAGTGTTAGACCACCATTAGAAACCTGGAAGCACTAGACGGCCATTTAGTCCTGGTATGGGACTCCTCAGCAGTGCTCATCCACGACTCCTGCACCCCGCCTACAATACCGAAGGTCCTGGGTTGGAATCCTGCGGGGTGCAGGAGTCGTGGATGCGCACTGCCACTGATGAGTCCCATACCAGAACGAAACGGCCGTCCAGTGCTTCTTCCAGGTTTCTAATAGTGGTCTAACATTGATCAATTCATGGTTTCAAAAAATGTGTCATCAATCTTTATCAGATCACATTAGTGAAATTATCGATCCAGTCAGTAGTTGATTGGTGGTTATTCAATCGAAACATCTGATTGGACAATAATAAACTATGCGCTTCATTCTATATAAATCTCAATAGTTTCTTTATTCTACGTTAGTCAATTTTTATTCTATTCTACATTAACAAAATGCCTTCACGTGATTATAAAAATGATTGTATCATTGTAAGTCTACAAAATTTTCTTTCTGTAAATTTTATTTATTCAAATTAGCTTGATGATAGTTTTAAAGGAGAATCAGCAAAAAATTTCACTCTATCATCATACTATGAAAAATATATTGAAAGCATTTTAATTTCCAATGGAATGATTCTAGATCGTTTAGAAACAATGGCCACTATTATATTGAAAGATTATGAAGAAGCTGGTGCAAATGCAATTCATATTATTTGTATATTAAAAGGAGGCTTTAATTTTGCTGTGGATTTATTCAATAAATTAAGTGAATATTCAACAACACGTGAAAAACATATGCAAATATGCATTGATTTCATCTCAGCTAATACATATGTTGTAAGTAAGAAATAGCTTCTTTTTATGTGGTAATTCCAATCAACACATTCAGAATGATTCAGTTGGACATGATACCAAACTTAATCCATGTACGAATATGAAGAAATTCAAAGATAAAGTAAGTTGAAAAACAAATTCCATCATGATCATTTGATTTTCTTCTGAATAATAGTATGTACTCATCGCTGAAGATCTAGTAGATACAGGTACTACTTTTAAAACAGTAGAAAATTATATAAAACAGTTTGAACCAAAATTAATTCGTTCTGCAAGGTATGTTTTATTCATGATACATATATATATATACATATTTTCTTGAAATTATAAGAAATTCTGTTGAAGCGAAACTTAGATTTGTTTGAAAAGAAAGAAGACCATTCATTTCACAGTTTATGTTACACTCAATTTAATCAAAATAGATATTCAGTCTGATATCACTTAACAGATCTGTGACTTTGTTTGTGTACAATTAGTAATGAAATTCTTGAATTTCTCGGTATACCGTCGTATTTCACTTTACTTTAAGCGTATTATAATCAAACACCATATCAAAATAAATAGTCTGTACAATATTTTGAGTACATGTTTCTCTGTCTATTGGCTGTTGATACTTAACAACTTGAACTAGATAGTATAATGGTTAAACTAGTTACCGATTATGTACGGTATTGTCATTTTCAAGTGCTTACCGATCCTACGGGTTCAAATTGTTAGAACAGTACTTTTTTTTAAATCGGCATCGTTTTAATACCTACCATCTTGATTTATAAAACTATAATTCTATAAATTCATACGTGGTTAACATGTTTTATCTCACTAACAGTCTATTATTCAAAAGAATTCATGATAACACTGAAGTAATCCCGAAATCCAATTCAGTTTCTTCTCGTGTTTGTTGGTACGTTGTATGCATTTGTTTTCTTTTCGGCATGATTAACAAATCAATTTCAAATATTTTCTATTTCAATGTATTTCAATGATTGTGTTATATAATCAATCCCTACACTCATAATAGTAGTTAAACGTGTGTGTGTTTTTTTATTATTATTATTATCTGAATAATAGTTTTTCAACCAAAATACAAACCATCACTTCTCCTGGCTATAATCCAGACTGTAAGTTTTCGATATGAAATCGATAATAACAAACGTACTGTAATTTTGTTCGTCTTTTTTCAAATATACCGGTAAAGATAAGCTTTTATTCAATAGACAAAGTTAGACAACTGTGAAGTTCATTTCATTTTGAGATATGAAAACACTTCTATTGACATTTTTATCATAAACATAGACATAATTTTGTTGATATGGAATGCAATGGTGGTAACTCAGTGTTTTAGTGGATATGACGCCGCTAATTTAAAATGTTTGACGATACGAACACTTGAATAAATGTTTCTACTTTATCAAGAGAATTTCAAAAAAAACCCGATATAATTTTTATATATATGACAGAAGCTTATTGCACTACACAATATGCCGATTCCCTCGAAACAGCCGGAAACTTCCACCAATCCTTATTACTGACATTATTGTCTAAGAACATAGTTCACATATGAATTATAGACAATATAATTTGAACCAGAATCAGATCATATAAGCAAACACTGGCGCTATTTACTCCATAATGTAATACTTTCAGAAATAAATAGCTCATGAAATAATCACTTGTAAGTATGCATCTGCTAAGTTAGATACGTGCAACCCATTTTCGTTCAAATTCTCAGCATGACTCATTTTAACTTGTTTAATCAGAATTATTCACATGAAATGCCATTTTTTAGATGTTGGCTTTGAAGTCCCGAACCGATTTGTAGTGGGATATGGTATCGACTACAACGATTGTTTCCGTGATGTGCCAGTAAGTGAAGTAAACAATGGAAGTGTTATTGTTATCGTATTTGTGCTTATAACTACATGTAAAATGACCACGTTGACTGTGTTGAGTGAGATCTGTTAGTGAGTGATGAGTACGTATGGATACGAGTCATTATGTTGACCAATAAGAGGAACATGCACCACTAATTCAACAGCCCGATGTAGCACAATGAGAAAAGATATGCACATACATAACTGCTTGAACGAGCCAACTGAGGATTCACAGTGAAACAATTCACTTCACATGTACAAGTACCATCATTAGATGGAATATTCCACTGACTGGTGATTCACAACTGTCTGATTTTTGAACCACACTCTCAAAGTTCATTTGAACCATGGCTTTTGTCATGTCAATAATGAATGCATCAAATTTGTGGTCCACAGAAAATGTTAATGTTGCTTACTTTTCCTCTTTTCATTGTTTCCTTCTGTCAAGCATGTGTGCTCGGTGAACGATGAAGGAAAACGTGAATTCTTTGGCAAAGGTTAACATCTCAAGCTCCGTTTAACAGTATGCCAAACGAGTAAACAGTCAGATTTGTTGTAAACGTTCTTTAATCAAGCATCACTAGCCATGTATTAGAGAAAATGAATATTTTTGTAATTTTATCGTGTGAATGCATCATTCATACAGAAGATTTTATTTTGTACTACTATTGTAAAAATTTTTGTCTTGATGGACATGTTTACGTCTTCTGAATTCGGTTTATGACTAGTGTAATGTGTGGGAATAGTCATTAGACGCCAACATAGCGTGAGTCGCGATCCAGCCTCTATTCAATCAGGAGTCTCAAATATTTTGTTCAGTTTCACCACATCGAGTGATGTCTTGTTGGAAATAACTTGTATTGATACCATATGTTGTCTTATGGTTACAACGGATATAAACGAATCTTCAGTGAATGAAACGTTTTCATTTCTTTTTAAACTGCTAGTTAGCTCGTATGATTAGGGTGTTCGTATTATGCATTGACAATGGACTGTGTGACGTGCACTTTTGAACGTTCTTCTCCAATCATTCACTTGAGGGCTGAAGTACACTATCAGAATGTTCAATCAGATATTTCGTATGAGGAGTCGTCTTCCATACTTTGGTGGACATAAAGCATTTCTAATGCGTGACTGAAGCTGAAATCAGGTACCATATGAGTCAAGTTGAAGTGCCTGCGAAAGCTAGGACAGTTCAGGTGAATTTTGTACACGATTTCGGGCATAGGACTCGACCACTGAGACGCCACGTTACAAGAGCTTCCAAATGTTGGACTAAGTATCCACCCAGCATATTACACTAACTAATCGCATAAAATGTTAGATATGAATCAATTAACACATAGTTTGGAGATAAGAAGGATAGGTAGCTGGAGAAAGAAAAAGAAGAAAAAATGATATCAAAAATCCATGATTAAGGTGATAAGTAGGTAAGAAAGCAAGGTGTATAGATGTTAATCATTTGGGGAAATAAAAATTTATTAAACTGTTAATATATGAGCCAGAAGGAACTAGCAATGATATAGGAAATTTGAATTCCTTCTAATTGACAGTAGTTGATCAGCATCTACAGGCTTTTCAAGTTATCTGTCTACTAGAAATGAAAACTGAAAGTTCTGTGGAAAATAAAAAGATAGTGGTTCGAATTTCAATTTTTCGAAAATTTCAAATGTTGCGGGTAGTACCTCAAATGCGTAATTTTTTAGTGTTACTAGGAGTAATGGAATTCGTCTATCATTTCGTGATACCTGTCCGGATGGTAATGCGGGTGTAATATATATTCATAGTCTGTTATTAGAATCTACTTTTAATATAAATATTTGGTGGATCATATAAGAGTGCCCCGAGACTTGATGTGAGTTGCGGGAATAGTTGATAAGTCTCCTAAGAGTCCATCAACAGCATTACTAGTTTCATCAACCTAGTGACTATGCCACAGATACGGATTGTAATTAGTCATCTGTTTTACAATAGAATGTATCGTGTCACAAAGAGATTACAACGCAATGACTTTTTGTGCATTGCCGTTATTAGTGTATATGCGGTGTTTCTTAGTCTCTAAGCAGATTTATGGTTGATAATTGGACGCTATTTAACAAACGAGAGACCATATATTATTTTATCAAGGAGTATTAGATTGTTTTTTAACCGACAGCGCCATAGAAGTTCTAGGGAAAGATATTTGCATATTAGTTTGTACTCTAGATTATGGTCTCATCCCAGCAGTTACTGTGTGAAGCTTCTTTGGACATTTCCTATTCTTATCTTGTCTGTGACATTAATGTTTGGAAAAAGCGAAAGTCTTATACACATTTTAATGAGTGTAAGCTTAGCCTCATTTATCAGTAAGTTCTTATTTATAACCCCAATTAGTCGTCTGGATTTAGAGATAATATTAGAGGCATGTTTAGGCTCATCTAAAACAAGTTATCATTGTATCCATATTCGTACTGTAGGGTGAGAAGATTTCTTACACAACCTAGTATGAACTGTGACTAAAACCAAAACAACATTAAGGTATTGTAAGAATTTCATTTGTAATTACGATCAGGGATTATTTAATACCAGAGCAATAATCAACTGTTATCGGATCACTAAGTGGCCATCTCGAAATGCCATTATGATTGGTTACTTCTCATATTCATTTATATATAAACATCCGCCTTCTCAGAAAATGAATATACTTCTAGACCAATGATATGCATCAATTCTTTAGGATATTTTAGATTGTCAACAAGTGACTATTGCGTCTGGTGCATCATGACTAATCAAGACTCCTGTATGATTGCTTTGCAATGTTGGTAGAGTTAAATCCTTTAAATTATAGAACCGTTATAACTGACGTTCTGTTGGATTTTGATCGTATTAGATCTGGTGAGAAACCAGATCTTATATCTTATGAAACCAAGAATATGCTTCATGCAAATTCCTAGGTCATATTAAAGAGAGAGTTGACGTTTCTATTCGATATTGAAAAGAGTGGAATCGGATTAGAACATCAGTCGGTTAAATAAATAGATTATGAACATGTGCTTTGAACGAAATTCGTCAAAGTAGATTACACTGAAAAAGCATGTGATTCAAAGTGTACCTGAAAGATTAAATGCTCTGGTCGTCTGAAGGGGTATCAGCCTCGTTTCTTTCAAAGGAACTTGGTTCTCATCGTGAGACGTCATAAGTCTTCTGAATCACGAGTTTTAAACTGCCAGGTCAAAGTTGAAGTGGTTTAAATTCCGCGGATATTCAGGGCTTCATCAAACATCTGACCACATCACAATTATAATGTGGAACATCTCAGTATTCAAACCAGAAATAAAACTTTGACTGGAGCATTTCTCAGGCTACTACCGTTTACAAGCCCGCATGGAGAGGGAGTGTTGGGCACTGCGTTGGTCACTCCATTTCGTTGCAATCTCTCCCGCTTAATAAAGCGCTAACCAGAAAACATAATTCAAACCATTTGACTTCTGCCTTGTGAGTTTGATGCTCTTCATTCAGAAGAGTTATGACGTGTTGTGATGAAAGCCAAGTTCCTTCCGAAGTAACGAGGCTGATACCCTTAGTGACAACCTGAGCAACCATCCTTCTAGGTACACGGAACGTTTGAAGAATACGGGAGACCAAAAGATTGTTCCAAATTGCTGCAGAGAGTGCTTCAGAGTAGCAATCGCCTTAGAAATACTCTGTACACTAAATTCAACACTGGCGATTTCACAGGGAGAAATTTGGGTCAGGTGTGATTCATCTGTTTGGTTTTCGTTTGTTAATTTAGCACAAACATGTTTGCTGAACAGCTCTGCGAATCTTTTCCAAGGTAGTTTGATGTCTGGTTGAACCGTCAACAAGTTGAGTCCACTCTCCAAGCTCTAAGCATTCAATAAGTGATTCAAATAGTTTAGATGCTTCGCTTAGGAACCAGGAGATTTCAGGCATGTTGACGTCCCTACAAATATCCATACTTATAAACGGTAGGGATGAAACAAACGTGAATACTTCTTGCAATATTGCTAAATCTCCTGTTGGTTCTTTGGGCTGACGGTAGACACAGCCGAACAGTGAGGAAACTGCATCTGAGAGTTTCAGAACGATCCACACAGAATTTGACAATCTGTTTAGTTCCAATATATCGCATAAGATTGAATTCAGGCTACAGTGGGCATATCACTTCGAAATAGATCATAGTTTTCAAGAGATATTGTAAGATCAGAAATATTACTGAAAGTCCATGCCTCATCTATCATTATAAGTGATGGTTGGCAAACAGTCGCAAACATGACCAGATCTGTCTTTTTATTACAGATCGAACGACCATTAATAAGACATACATTAAATAAATGTCCCGCTAAGCTAAAATAGTCTGTCTTGAGTAAAGGAGTTACTCTGACCTACGTTGGTGTTGTGTGAGGAGTTAGGGGACAACATGTTAGGTAAGTTACTGAAACTTACAGGAGGGGTTGTTAGCCGGTGGGAAAGGGGTCGAACGTTGCTTGTTTGAGATTGTGTGAGGGGATTGCTTTTATACTCTGCATGTGGTATTAAGTGACTTGAGCTGCATGTCACCCAAGATCTACCACACAACTCGTTACTCAGGTTATATTTATTCGGAATGATTTCAACTTGGGGAGGGTTTGCCATTTACGAGTGCCAGTTGTTACGACCTTCTCTAAATTTGGGGGTCATGTTTACCGGCTGGCTTGGTAAAGCAGGATGAGTCGAATTTTCATTATGAGCGTTTATGCGAATAAAGGCCTGTGTATAGGGATAGGGTGTGGGAAGAAAAATCTTCTATTTTCACATTCACTAATAACTCTAGATTTTGTTCGTTGTGCGTTGTACCTAGATCTTCGATAATTGTTATTTGTGTGCATGGTCGGATGTTAGTCTGGTATGTTTTTAATATTATCAGTCTTAAAACCTAGAAAGGCTATGGGCACATCACATGACAATTAAGGGGTGAACCTATTCATCGTGGCTGGGAAAGTTGCAGACAATCGGGTTTGAATCCTACCTATTTTTCTAATTGAGTCCCAAGATCTAATCTGTTCACCCCTCTCAATTAAAGATGGAGAATGTTATAGTCCCCTAGACGCGTTCTTCGAAAACGATTCAGTTTCTTTTCTTACTTTCCTGCAATATATTTTAGGGATCTAGTTTTAAATTTATTTATTTTAGCTGGAATTGTGTTGTTTTATGGAACAATTTCAACCAATTCAACGTTCGAACACCCGAGATTAGGACTGCTGGTGTCCTTAGATTTTCTGATGACAGACGGGATTCGTACTTTGATAGAAGATTGACAGTCCACAGGCTCATCAAGATCTACAGGGCGGTTTATTTGTTTATTCCTATTGATGACTTTAAAAGTTGTCTCCTGTCGATTTTCTGCTGTGACACAGCCATGAGTTCTTGTCGCCTCTCTTTTTTTATACAACGTTGAAAATGCGTTAGATCTGGGGTAACCTTTACGTATTTTACAAGGTTGATGAGCTAATATTCTTGCTCAAATGATAAAACGTTTGGTCGCCTTACTGCAGCCACATCTACACAAATCTGAGCTCACTCATGACTTCTTAGGCTACAGCGTTAAAAATAAAAAGAATAAATAAAATATCAAAAAATTATCAGATCACTGAGCCTCATTACTATATTCTGTGAATCAACATTATTTCTAACAGTCCAGTGCTTCTAAATTTCCTTTATTCACACGAATAAGTGCTCATTCATTTTCTTACTAGTGAATGGCCTTCATTAACCTACATAAGTTCAGTTGTAGAGTTGGGGTTCTAATTTTAAAAAAGTATCTTCTGAGTCACTGTTCGGCTTTAAACAAGAATATTTTCTGTTGCGCTCCTCGCCCCGTTCTCCTTATCTCTCTTTTTCAGAACCTTATTCCTATCCCAAAACATTAGTCCGGATATTTGCCGAAGACTCGGTTATTTTACTCAGGAGCCCGGAAATTTATTATCTGATGAATATCAACCAAATCTTAGCCCATTTACCGCATCAATTCTTGTTATATGCATACCTGGCTCTACCTTGTGTTGTTTCGCAGTCATTAGCGGTCCGTCGAAACGCAACCATTGTAACTCGAGCCAAATATTTGCATCGTACAATGCAGGTTCTGGACAATTATTGATAATTTTACGTCAGTCAGTCAGTCAGATGCAACGTGAAACTTCGTACGTAAGTACATCAGTTCATGTCGCCATACCACATTAGCACAGAGATGTAATTGTCAATTTAAATCCAACAGTAGTAGAGGTAGTAAAGGTATTAGAAGTAATCGGGGAGGTTAGAATTAGAAGATGTTATTCTAAAAGCTATGGTCGGGGGTTAATTTTATGTGGAAAATTTTAGCCGTCTCTATGAAGACAATCTATTTAGTGAAATATTTCAATAACTGAACAACGTTTTACACATGTCACATTTTTTTATTTGAGAATAACTTATTATTATTAACATTTTTGGAACAAAAAATACCGGTTCATATGATACTTTTTGAGTTCGTGAATGCTTTCGATACGTTACCTCACACGCTCCTGAATGCGAAGGTTGAGAAGGTGTGATTAACTGGCCAACTTCTATCTTTGATCTAAAACTACCTAGAGAAGACTATATTTCGTAGAAGTAGTTCTCACGAGTCTTTATTTTATAAACTTGAAAGAAGATCATCTTAGGTTCACAACCTTTGATAATTATTCATGACCTTTTGGATAAATCATCTTGGCGAAACTAATCTACGCAGACAACCAAAACATCTGGAGTTCCCTAGGAAAGGCACAGCATTCAACTGAGCTTCTAAGAAAAATTAATGTCTTGGATCGAGTTTAGAGACTAGAAATGAAATAGGTGAAGAAGTTACAGAATAAACCTACGAAGATAGACTCCTGAATTTTGAATACCATCCAAGAACTTTGCTATGTGCGTGTCCTATGTTCAAACACTCGTCGAACATGTGGCTGTATAAAACTGTTCCGGTAGGTAAAATATCGTGGAATTGCAGTCAGAAGAGGACTCTTGTTACCAATTAAACTAAGCAGACTTATATGGTAAATTTGGTAGCATTTGAACAGTTTGATCTTGCAGGTTAAATGACATGACTCATGTAGCACAATACCATAATACAATACAATACAATACCATACCATAATAAATATTATCATTATTATAACGCTTGTGACTATTCACACTGGATTATAGAAGAACCAGAAGTGTTCTTTTAATGACGTATGATAGATTATGTTCGCTGAATCATCTCAAAACAAACATCTTACCATAACATCACTTCCACAGCCCTCGAGTTAATACTCGAATCCTCAAATAGCGAACACTTAGGTTCGTGCACATGTTTTCTCGTTAAGATTCATTCCAAACTGAAATGCTCCTGCAGATGAAATCACCGCAGCCTCCCCGGTGCATAGCTTCAAGAACAGACTTTACAAAATCATACACACAGATTATTATGTCCTTATTGGATAAGCTGTATCTGACCAATGTCTTGAGACATTCTGGTTGTTGTTAATGTCATTTGTTCAGATCAATAACTTTATCTAACTCGCTTATTATCTCTGTTTCCGTTTGCACCTCAGTCCTGTCGCACAATCGTAACTACCAAATAATTAACTTAATTATCCATTTATTTATTTAGTTCTGAAATCCCCTCACCGCTGGACTTTTCTCCTTATTATTCTGAACAGTAAACAAACATCTGCAGCCGTACTGAAAGAACAAGAATCGAGCGCAAAGAAATCAATTTGTTTTTACTAGCTCGCGTAAAAGATATTGGACATAGAAGAAATCAGTTGGCTTCGTTGTTACACATTCAAAACTGAACTCTACTAGTTTTTAATTCCGATTATCGGTTTGTCTTAATTTATTGCTTGTGTTATTTTTGATTGCTGTCAGCTGCTTTCACTATTCAATGTAAATGCATTCTATGTGCCTATGGAATCGTCGGCTCACTTTTTATTTTGTAATGCATTCGAAAACTTACTGTAACAGCTTCTAGCTTCGTTTGTCTTAATCTCATGCCGGTTTTATTTCTGGCTACTACATATTGATTTTTTCTGTTGAATTTAAGTGCATTTTGTGTGTGTACTGAGTCGTCGTCTCATACTTTTCCCTTGTTCTTTCCTCTTCCAGGTGATCTTACACGCTGCTCCCACTGAACACAAAGAACCTTTAGGCTGAACTCTAACCTACCAAAGGCTCAGTTTATGATTTATACTGGCTTTTGAAAAAGGTTCTTCAAAATAGGCACAGCACTTGTCCTGAGTTTTCGTCCATAATGGTGTTTGAGTCGTCAAGAGAGACTAACTATGCTTCAGGTATGTGTCGTTTGTGATTAAATAATCCTCTTATGCTATCTAGATGACTTGGTTCGACTCTCTAACTGCGCTTTGTCCTTAATAAACGTTGAACCTTACATTCAGAGTATTCATGATATCACTCCTGCCTTCGTTTACGACTTAGCAGTTGTCTTGTTTGGCAATGATATTCGTAAGTTACGAATAACTTTTTCTCATGGTTCTTAGTGCCTTGTTGTGATTGCATTGAGACTGGTTGTGTAGAAAACTTCAAAGCTATTGTGTGTAAACTATCTGAGGAAATCGGAGAGGACTTGGACCATATTGGACCAGAGGATCTTATGAGTGGCGAGCCTAGAGCATTATCCGACTTTCTTGTTCTACTAGCCGCATTTATTGCCTACTGTTATGAATCGGAACTTCTGAATCTCCGAAATTCAACAATTGAATCGTCACTTGAGTGTTGTGACCATTTGACTGCAGACTCAAAACTAACTCCGAAGACCAAAGGATTTTCCGGTAAGCTACATACTTTCTGATTCATTGAAGGCCTAGCAGCACTTTTATCATTATTTTTTCTATAAACTGAGTCAATTGGTCCCACGATCAGTCAAATGTTTCCTTAAGATGTTTTATTTATGCTGTGGTTTAAAGATTCTCGATGGTTTAGTCACTCGTAAACGAAATTAGTAGTTTTGTAAGAATTATGTAATTGAACTGCCTTGATCTATCCATACTTGTCCGCCAATACCTTCACAGTCTTTTGTAATTTCCCAAAAGTCAGTTGGTGTAAAATTTATGGCGATATAGTAACGAGGTTTTTGAACCATACTTCAGCCCTGTACCCTACCGTTTCGCGATAGTTTGTCGTAGATTTCCAGACCACACTCATTAGGTGTATGCTAATATGACCTTTCCACACTTCCTTTGTCTGCAATTTTACTGTTTACTGTAGCTTCCAAATGCTTCAGAATAGCCGAGGGTCAGAAGAGTCCACTCTCCTCTGAATGTGCTCATGTGGTTGCACGTTGCACCCTAACAAGCAATCCTTCAGATACAAAAATGGTCAAACAGTGCACGAGCAACCTCGTCTCGAAAGGATCAGGTTTCACAGGTGTAGAGGAGAGCTGCTCTTCCGGGTACATACTGAATATCTTACAGCTGAACTCCCTCTCGAAATTCCTTCACACCTACCGTCGTTTATCAGTCAGTCAGTCAGTCAGTTGCAACGTAGAACTTCGTACGTAAGTACATCAGTTCATGTCGCCATACCACATCAGCACAGAGATATAATTGTCAATTCAAATCCAATAGTAGAAGAGGTAGTAAAGGTATTAGAAGTAATCGGAGGGGTTAGAACTAGAAAATATTATTCACGAAGTATGATTCAATGAGAAAAGTTTAGAAAGTCAAAACTAGAGGTGCTGAAGAATCCAGAAGATTAGGATTTGAGAGAACACAAACAATGAATGCACTGGCGCCATTGCGAACCATTTTGAGCCATGTCATTCAAGGTCTCTAACCATCGATTATTATCATCTTGCGGACCCCAACCAGGTAGTCGACAATTACCGACATTGCTAAGTCCACTCGTCAATGACTTCATGGATTTATGCCATGTTTTGGTCTGGCCGCCCCTAGCTTTCTTCCAACCTATTCCAACACCACAAAACAAAGCTCGACGAGGCAGTCGGTGGTTAGGCATACGCAACACGTGTCCCAACCACCTCAACTGATGAAGTTTCACCACTTCATCGATTGATCTGCCATTCTTACCACGTGATTCTCACCACGTCAAGGTAGCAGCTACGGTCGGGACCGTCGTTTTTAGTCTAGGAGATGACCTGCTCATTACCTCTGAGTTACGGTGTTTTTACTCAGTTAGACGGTGAATCGGATGCACCTAAGTGAGTTTCGAAACCCTGGTTTCCAAGCAGTGTTACATGTTAACTTTAGGATCGTAAGTGTACGAATATGGTACTTTAGTCACCAGCCACTAAAGAATTTCACTTGATATTAAAACACCGGCTTGTAAATAAGTTAGTTCGGTGGTTTTATAGTTACATCACTGATGTGGCATTTCAATTAGTATTTCATTCCTTTATGTATGTGTTTACTGGATTATGTTTCTGTTTCTACTTATCTTCGACACGTAGAAAGTGCTTGACTACGTAGTATTAATATTTTCCTCCTATTCATTGTCTGTTTATTTGTTAATTCAAATTAAAATAAACTTTTAGACTTCCAGTTGTCTACTTCTCCTGAATTACCACGTCACAGTGTAACTTGTGCACCCGTGTTTTCGACATCTTTTCACCAACCTGATCGATCTATGGAACAAAGTACACCGGTGAAGCGAACTCCAGCATCTTTTCTAACTAGGAACCCTTATCCACCCATTGATCATGTCAGTTCATTACCACAAAAGTCAAATTTATTTACTTTCCAACCTGATAATGTGAAAGCGAGCTATCCAGTTGCTTCGTGTCTTCCTAATTTCTTAGATGTACATACAGACGCTTCACCTCCAGCAACACCAAATGCCATGAATGGATATCTAGAAATTATCCAGTAAGTTGACGTTATTCGACTTTCTTCTATACTTTTGTAAGCATTATTACGAAATCATGAGGCTGAGACGGTTTTTACAGAAACGTCAAATTCAATAATGGCTTATTACCCGGTGTGTTCAAAAACATTTCAGTTAGTTTAGCATTTTCTGCTGAGTTTTGAGGCTGATCTAACCGTACTGGTTGTTTAGTTAGTTCTTGCACATTTCATTACTTGGTACCTGTGATCGAGAGCTATTCTTGTATTGAACTAAACATTAGTAAATTACTTTCATTGAAGTCTCACAATAATTTCACGAAAACGAGTGTAGTGTAAATGCATTTCCTCATCCTTAGTAATTATTATGTCATAGTCCACACTGAAATACAATCACAGTTCAGTACAAGCAGTTTCGACCCTTTGTTTACTTATGATCATAAATCTGACCCTGTCTTGAACAGATCATTATTCCTGACATTTTATTTATTCGTTATGTCTACTCCTAGTTTCCCACCACTATTGGTATTGTTATCTTGAATCCTTTACCCTGATGTTGAATTCCTCTAATCATACTGATATGAAACATGTCAAGTGAGATCAATGCAAAGGTTTTCCATCTTCTATCTTATTTGTCTGTTTTGTTTAGAATAAAATTGGACGTTAACTGTGATGCAGTATCTAGTTAAGCAATAACGTTGCTTCTTGAATAGACTATCTACTGTGTACTAAGAGGCACCTAAATATTTATGCGTCACACAAATTATTGAATTTTTGAGTGGACTATGATACTGTCCAGGTGCCACTTCTTAAGCCTTCGACTAAAAGACCTAGTCCACAATCTAGTGAAGCAACGTCAGATGTGGTCCTGTAGTAGTCAGTGACCGAAAATCGGTTGATCCACTGTTCGTCCCACTAGAATACGGGAGCCCTGTAGTTCAGTGGTTTGAAATCGGAGTTTTCCAACTCCCCTATGTAGATTCTGTTTACCCATCAAACTAGTTTAATCGTCAGATTCGGTTTTCGTCCTCTTAATTTCTCAAACAATAAAGTAGTGAGTAGAACTTCCATGGTAATGGGTATGCACGCGTGGCCACATAAGATGATTCGAAGAGGCAGAGCGAACTTTTCTGACGCTCAGCCGTATCAGGGCATTTGGAAGCTTAAATATAATAAGTTTTAGACCTCATGTATTGGTAAAAGGAACACTGTCCGTTTATCCAAACTAGACTTGGGTGAGGATGTAATCGGAATCAGTAGTTTACTGCCTTAAACTCAAACTTTTTACCCAGCACAAGTGCGCGTTTTGTCGTGGCGTAGAGCAGTTTGTTGATAACTATAATATCCTTTTCCTAAAACATCAGAACATGTAGTAAGTGTACCGATTTAATGTTATGGAATGTTTCTGTCATCTGATCTAGTTGTATTAGCAAATAGTGTTTTCTTCCCTTCAATTAGACTAAATCAAATTTTGGAAAGTATGGTGGTTTGTTGCTTTCGTTGATTTTTGTAATTTTCTCTCTCTAGACTAACCTTATTTGGACGTCTATTGTAAATCAGGATGCACTGGATATCAATTTCATTTTGTTACGATACTCCTCTAGTGTGCATATCCATGACCCTGTTACTAATCGAACCCAGAACTTTCACGTCTCATGTCCAACTCAAAAGGTTCTGTGTTCGATCCCTACTGGGTTTGTGGATGTAGTCCCATATGAAAACGAAAACAGATTTCCAGTCTTTTTGGTTATCAATAGTTATTTAACCAAGGTCGGTCCATCATGTGGAAGTATTCTCAATGATTGATGTTCCTAGTAGGAATTATGTATTTGCGAATATCCGAATCAACCAAGTTGTTTTGTATCCTGATATACATTGGATAACCACATTCCGAAACGTTATCAATAAGCTATACGAAGCTGTGAATCATTTGTTCAGATTTTTTTCAACATTATTCAGTTTACAATGTTTTCTACCCAAATGTATTTTCGTCAATGAATGTTTGTCTTTACTTCCAACATGGTTACTCCATGATCCCGAAATTAGTGTATCATCGAACCGAATATGTCCGGTTGTATGCACATGGCTTGTAGGATATACATGCCATTAGGATTATTTATAGTGTTCTTTTTAATCATCAAGTGTATTTATTGATATTGTGAAACCTGAATCTACCAAACAAGGCATTGTTTTTTTTCGAAATCGTATTTATTCACTTGAGTCTTAAATCTAATTCTATTTTCAGTAGAGAGAGATAATCGATAAAGGTAAACATTCTCACCATCTTGTTCTATGTAGGTTGTTTTTGATTGACTGTTGTTTCACAAAGTTTAACTAATCAGTTTTTATTTGTTAGATTTTATCCCATCATAAAAAATGTTTCTGTTCAGATTAAATTACACAAATGATGAATATGATTTGCTCCAGTGTCACAATCTATCACCGTTTTGTTGTGATTGTGATCACGATTGTGTTGTGTCGATTATACATGAAACGTGAAGTTTTCTTTTTTTACGTGAATTTTGTTTTTCTTTTTCGTTGTTCCTCAACGTAGTTCAAATTTATCCGATGCGGATGTTGTACCCAGTTTACAGAATTCTCTAAATATGCAACAATTTGTGCCTAGTTCTCCAGTTGGTGAAGAATTCAAGAAATTAGAAAATTCTGACTCTCCTATAAAACGTTTATCTAATAAGGAATTTTCCGGAAGTAGAAATTCTGTAAGTGACACATTCTTTTCTATTGTTTTGTCTATCAGTAAACTGATGAACCTTAGAATGAAATGATTTTAGTTAGATGATAATAAGAAAAATTATACTATTCGACCCCTGTTAGTTTAAACAAGAGAGAGAGAAAGAGAGAGTTCTCAGCATTGTTCTCGTCCTGAAAGTTGTCCGATTTATGTAAGTTATGTTTGCGTAAATCTTAAACTATATTGAAATATTCGACCTGAACCAGTTCCCGAGTGAGTGTCTGGTGTTGAGTAGTAAATTTCAACGAAATGTAATGTAACATTTAATTGTTTGATTGGTTTAGTGCTTTCCCCCACTGAGCTTAAAACTCAACAATCAATCTAGTCTGAAGTTCATTTCAGATATTGTTGTAACGCTGCTACGTGTAGCTATTCAGTCCTAGCGGCGTCTAATTCAAATATCCCGATACGACCCGAAATGCTATTTTCAAATCTCTTAGATATCAGAACGCAACATCGTGGGATGGAGTTGTTTATTGGGTCGAATACAGAAGAGAGGTAGGCAGGAAAAACGCAATCGGAATCCGAATCATGAAGCCTTACAGATAGTGCGTATTTATACATTAAGGTCGAATAAGAAAGAGCATCAAAGTTTGTGACATTGACAGTTTAGGACGGCCAATAGGAAAGAACATTTGACATAACATTGACAGTCCAGATGACCAATCAGAGACAACATTGAAGTATTTGACTTTGACAGTTAAAACGATCATAATTTTGACCAATAGAAATCGACCAATTGGATTATACTTCCAAAAATAGTACTCTTAGGATATTTGGTGGATATCCTAACAGACTTACCTTACTTTTGTGTTGATTCTGTGACAATAGAATCAATGCTCTTAAGGGGTTTATCATAAACAATCGTATCAACAAATAGGTTAGTTTTTTCTTATGTCTTTTCATGATAAGGATAATTAAATCAGTAAGTAATCATTGTTTAATGTATACTAACATTTTGTTGTATTAAAGATTGCCACTGTGAAAATTAGAACAACACGGATATAAGCGAACAATGTTATTGTTTTCGATTAGATCGTCATCAGGCTGCTTTACTCTAATATACATGAATATTAGAGTATGAAAATGTTAAACCAATCAAGGCAATTTGAGTCAATAATCACAATGAAATGAAATAGAGATCACATCACTACATATAATAGGCAAAATTACAAGTAGATAATGGGAAGACAGGTGTACTAATAGTAGTAGTAAGACAATTATAAAATATGATAACTAAAGTTTTATCATTAGTAGGTCAAAGGTGGATGAATAGACTTCAAATAGTCCTTAAAAACATCAAAACGATTACGTAATAAGCAAATGTGTAAAAATAAAAATATGATGTCAATCGTTAGTTACGTCATATCCGGCCACGGAAGAGATAGTGGTGTCACGTATTTCTTCTGAACACATAAATTAGGGTTGAATGTACGTATTCCTATGGCTTCTGCAATGTGTAGGAGACGGGATCGAACTCCGTTGGGAAATGATTGAGGCATACGACAGATCGTCCGAAAAGAACTAGACTTATCTACAATGTGACCACTATCTACCAGGTGTGCTAAGATCGAACGGCGTATTATTTTTGACTGACCCTTCTTAAACCATGCTGGGATATGTTCACTTATTCGTTGGTTAAGTTGCCTGGTAGTACGCCCGATATAGTAGTGACGTGATCTCTATTTCATTTCATTGTGATTATTGACTCAAATTGCCTTGATTGGTTTAACATTTTCATACTCTAATATTCATGTATAATGAGAGTAAAGCAGCCTGATGACGATCTAATCGAAAACAATAACATTGTTCGCTTATATCCGTGTTGTTCTAATTTTGTTGTATGTCATTTAAGGTTTAACATGTTGCCACTATCATCTTCAACCTCTTAACAACTAATAAGTACAGAATGGCAAGCATTTGAACTTATTGACCACTAAATGGAGACCAACGTCACTATTTCCTGTTCTCCCCTTCTGTTCCAATTGTGTAAATGAGTTTTCAGTAGGACCGGTAGTCCAAGTAGTGTCTTTCTGTTAGGTGGTTGAAAACAGCTGATCTGTTGGTGACGATTCAGACTAACACGGATTTGAATCCATTGAGGAGCGACAGTTACCTTTAAAATTGTAGATACTTCTTCTTGATTAATGATAAGTAACATAAAGACTAGACTCAACTGCTTCTTGCTGTCTACCTCCAACTACTTGACATCAGTACTATAACTGGTCAGTCAACTTGTTGTTTTGGCATCAGCCAAATAACAACTGATTACATTGAAAATTGTATCTGTTTGAGTTTGTTAATGAATATGGAAGTAAATGAATCGTGAATTGAAATCCTTTTAACTAACACCGTGTGGATGAAGTTATAGATGATTATTGTGATTAATTTGTTTAAACATATGAACATTAGTGCAAAGAGGCACTTAAGTTATTTATGCGCCACATAGATCATTGAGTTTTTGAGTGGGCTTGGATACTATCTGGGTGCCCAGACTGAAGCAGGCAATTTCCTTACGAGGCAACTCATGGAGCCATTAACCTTAAGGTCTAACTCACCAGGCAGTGGAGGGGTCTTATGGTAGCTAGTGACCAAAGTATGTTTATACGCCATTCATTCCATCAGGATCCTGGAGACCATGTTCGCTATTTGTAATGGTTCAAGGATTTGAACTGACACTTGCGTCTCTGTACTAATGTGGTATGGAATGGCAACCTGAACTTACATAAGTACGTACAAAGTTCTACGTTGTAACTGACTGACTGAATTTTAGACTTTCCCAACTACCTTAGGTGGATTCTCCGCTCCCACCGACCCGGTTAAAGCACCGAACACTCGTTCTTCCTCCGAGATTTCCTCACTCTCGGTCGTTCCAATGCAATCGACGGCCATTACATGACTTCAACTATGAAAAGATAGATGATTGACCGGAAGATCCAAATGACTGAAGTTTATGCACATGAAATCAAAATGCGTTTACAAATGAACTTATAAATAAAAGCATAAAATGTAAAGATGATGCGCAACTAAATATCGGGACAACGAAAGATGAGTAACAGTTCATTTCACGTAAAGTTGCTTGTTTGTTCGTAAGTCTACTTCCTCTAGTATTTCTGATTTAAACATATAAATATGTTCCTTTTATTGAATCGTTTATTTTCCTAATCAGGTTATTTCTGTTGAATCTATTGCGTTGAATGATCATCAATTGTCAATCTCTTCACATGAAGATAAAGTCCATTCGAACAATATCAATGACAGAAGTTTCTCCTCTTCTGTTGAATTAATTCATAAGTCAATAAGTGATAGACATGAGAGTTCAAGTAGTGGACGTGGTCATAGTTTAACAGTTACACAAACAGCTCCTTTTCAATCTAACACTTCAGCTCATTCAAGTCTTCTTGAACTACACACTTTTCCAGATTCACCTAAAACAACACAGCATAATCATCATTCTAATGTTTCTCAAAAGTCTTTAAATAATAATAAATTGACATACAATGAAAGCATCAATGATAGTTATGACTCGATCGGTACAAATAGTATACTGGCTTGGAATGCAGACAATAATATTACAGTTAACAAGAGAATGAATAAAACTGATCAGTCACATGATCGTTTATTGGATGATGATTCAACTTCACTTCTGGCGTCCAGTTTATCATCCGACACTGATCAAGTTTCAAATAGAATAGTAGTAGTATCTAATCATTGTCCAATTACATCGAATGATATTTTTACTGAAATGAATGATTTTGCTGATATGCTTGAGAAACGATTAAATTATTTGAAGTGAGTAATTGATTATCATTCATTTCTGTATGGGGAATATTATTATTATTATTATTATTATCATAATTATAGAATGATGATTCATAGACATCTGAACTGTGATACACGATTCTCTGCTCTAACTGACAATGAGTGGTCGCGGTAAAGGTGGAAAGTCCCGAGCCAAGGCGAAAACCAGGTCAGCCCGTGCTGGTCTCCAGTTTCCGGTTGGTCGTGTTCATCGTCTGCTTCGCAAGGGTAATTACACTGAACGCGTCGGTGCTGGTGCCCCTGTTTACCTGACGGCTGAAGTTCTCGAGTTGGCTCTACAACGCCGCTCGTGACAACAAGAAGACCCGTTTCATCCCACGCCACCTTCAATTGGCCATCCGAAACGACGAAGAGTTGAACAAGCTCCTCGGTGGCTTCACCATCGCTCAAAGTGGTGAAAATCATTAAGCTGAGATAGGGCGACTTAATGTTTGGCTGAAGAAGATGAAATGCAAGTTTGTTTGTATCCACCAACCCCTTTCGGGTCTCTAGACATTCGGTTTTCGTCCTCTCACTTTCATAAACAATCGCCTTCACCTCGAGGTGTTGAGGACTGCGCTAACGGAAGCCATAAATTCATGGTTGTATGTTAACATTTAAAGAGGACGAGTTGATTCCCTCACCTTCAGCCATAGCAGAATACTTGGGTTGCAGGTAGAATTTTAGAGTGGTAGATAGTAAGAACATCAAACCGAATGAGCATTAACCTAGTCTGTTTCTACATGAAAATAAAATATGAATAAATCTGAAAGTCTTAATCACTATGGGATTTGATTTGACATTTACGTCTCTGTGCTCATGTGGTATGGCAACATGGACACACGTACGAAGTTCTACGTTGCAACTGACTGACTGGACTGAGTCATGTTGGTACATATAGGCTACCTAGTTGGGGTCCGCGAGACTATAGTAACCGATGGTTAGAGACCTTGAGTGACTTGACTCAAAATCATTTGTAATGGTGCAGGTGCATTCATTCTTTGTGTTCTATGAAATTCTAACCTTCTGCATTCCTCGTCCTCGACCGTAGTTTTACCTTGACGTGGTGGTCGGGCTTGTCTACCGTGATGACCCAACCGAACTATATTGGCTGAAATACATGTTCTTGTAGGTTCTGCCATGCCAGGCAGGCTGAGCCATGTTAATAGATGTAGGCTTCCTAATTGAGGTCCGTGTGATAATCGTAACCAGTCAGTGGTTAACGGCATTGAATGACATGACTCATAATCGTTTGCAATGCCGCAGATACCTCCATTGTTTGCTTTGCTCCAAATTATGATCGTCTGAATTGCTCATGATTCTTTTGGTTTTATTTCGCTGATTTATACACTCTGGATTTGACCGGAAAATTTCATCTTTGTGCTAATGTGATATGGCGGCTTTAACTGATGTACGCCTGTGACCAGGTTCTACCTTGTAACTGACTGTGTTGTATGAAATAGTGTCATTTGGTTAGTTTTCAGTTAGTCAATAGACAAGTTTTATGGAGTACTTGACAATTAGTGAATCGTTGTGTTGAAAAAATCTGAACCGATTGTAACTGTCACTCAGCATTAAACTATCCACCTTGTTTATTTAAATTCCCATTAGTTGTGTTCGAACAATACTATGGTGGTCCACTGTTAATCTTGTCGTACTTGTGTTGTAAGCTGAATCCATATATATAACCTCATAGTGTATTGAATTGTGTGGTTTTATTTTATCTCAATGTTTCACAGATCTGTTTATGTTCGTGCCCATTCAGAAGCTGAAGCATTGACTGATCTAGTTCAATTGATCACATCAAAAAGTCTGCATATCATTAAACCTCTTATTAATAATAACAGTCAATTAAATGACAACAACAACAACAAGAATAACACTCATACACTGAACAATAATAATTCATTCAACAATAGACCAGAGAATCATTTACATTTGGAATCGTTGATCATCAAAGCAATTGATCGTATTGATCAACTATTGGAAAAATACACAACTCCTTGTCCACAAATAATAATTCCGAATGTTCCCAACAGTGGTATGTTGAATTCTCCAATCAGTGTTCATCCTAAATCAAAAACAGTCAACCACAAATTGACGAAGAAAGCCAATTTTCATCCAAAAACTGATTATCATTCATCAAAATTCAATTCTTTGCATGATGATCACTTTTCCAATGTAGAATTGAAGAAGTTATTGAATCTGAAACATGAGTATGTTCACAATATGATGTTTATTTTTTTCAATTGATCACATTTCCAAACATTCTAATATGATGATTTTAGTTTGCATATATATATGTATATATATAGTACTAAGTTGCTAGTGTATAGTCAATTAGAAAAGATTGTAAGATGGATGGTTAGGTGTATGTGGAAAACACTGTATATCTTATGAATATATATCAATCTATGTATTATAACAAGGTGTCTAATGTTTCTCATCATTATTGTATAAGATACGCTGTATACTACTGAAATTCATTGACAACACATGATTATCATCTGAATTAGGTAAAAAAAAATATCTTTCGATGTTTTTAGGCTACACTTTCCCATCTTATCGATTGACTGATTGATTGATTGATTGACAATCATTGTAGCCATTTGTGTAGAATGCATTTTCATACCATAAATCGCGATATGAAAATAGTGAAGCTGGGTGAGTAGCTGGAAAAACAAATGGAAGTAGGATAATATTAATATCGATTTCAGGAACACATTGTTTCTCTTTGATCTGCAGCTACCCTATGAATTTTTGTATGTGAAATCATGTGAGTCTCAATTGGGAAGTTTTTCTATTCTCTTCTCTCTCACTGCACTAAATAACTACTTACTTGAATCATTTCCCTAGTGTGGATGCTTAAAACAGTTAATAGCTAGCTGTTATACAGTGTAATATTTTATTTCAATACTTTGATAGACAAACTGGAATTTTAGTTTCAATTGATACCTTGATCTCACTAGAACTTGAACTGTCTGTTTATTATTTATTTAAGTTGACTGGTAAACAACACTCAGTGTGTTAAAACTAATGATTACAGCTCCATTCACATATACCAGTTCAAATGAATTTGATAGGTAGGAACAACTGAAATACAAGCTGATTTTAGATAATTATCGAACTCATTAACTAAGTTTAAAAAAATACTTTTCTTTTGATTGTATAAAGTATCTCATGTTTTAAGAATTTCATCAGTAAGTAACATGACAACTAAGATGTGAAAACATCATCTCATACAATAATAGTACACATACCCTCCATATGAAATCTAGTCATTAACGAGATGTTTGGAAGAAAGCTAGGCGTAGTTCATAAAGTCATTCATTTACACTTTGTTTTCTAAACCATATTCGATTTGAAAACCACAAGTGAGTGGCTATCTGCACTCAGTAGGCGTATGACTAAGTAGACAACACGATGGCGTTTGAAAAAGACTGTGTTGGTTTTGAGTGTCGGATTGAACATCAACTTTAAAGTGCAGGTACTTGCAGTTGACAAGTCTCAAATAAGATGAAACGTGCGTCGTGGATTCCAATTGTTCAGCTACTTTCTGTCTATTCCATATTCCTAAAATTTGGTTTTTACTTCATCACTGCTACTATATTGTTTTGATTTGTGTTGTTATTTTCATCTCGTCTGACAATTTAGGTCGATAGATATATCTGTGCCGAGTTTTATGTTAGTGATGGTCGATATGGTTGAAGTAGTCTTATTTATGATTTGTGTGTACGTACGAACGTACGTACGAAGTTCTATGTTGTTGTTGTTGTTGACTTGATGACTGACTGTGCACCTCAAACAAACCCTTGGAGGGAATTGCTTCTTTCCGGTACTTCTGTTGAAAATCAATCTTGTGCACGCCTTTTTCTGTACACTATTTTCTTCAAAAAACAGTTGAACCTATACAGTCACGTGAAACAAAAGTCATCTAAACAAGTAACTACATGTATATCTAATGTATAAATCGATTCCTATGGCAATTTCAGTATTTGGTCAAGACTAAGAAAATCAATACAATCTACTGATTTCATCCCAGTCTCTTCAACTGTTACACAACCACAGTCATAGTATTAGTAGTAGATTAGGTAAATTTGCTAATGTGCACCATTGGTTTAAAATCAAGGTATGTCAGCTCTCCTAACTGGATCCCCCGTACCCACCAACCTAGTTTGAACGTTAGGCCATTCAGTTTTCATCCTTTCAATTCCGCAAACAACACTTGTGTCACGAGAATGTCGTGCGTAGGACTTTCTTGACAATGGCTGTCATACGCGTGGCCGCATGAAAAGGAATTCGAGATTGAGAGCAGACTCTCCACCGGGAGCATTACTCAAATGTTATTTCTAGTGTTCTAGATATTTTATTTATTGTTGCTGAACAACTCACTAAACTAAATTTTCATTCGATGACATATCTACTGCGAACTCCTCATATTTTACACAAATTTACCCATTTTATCACTTAAATCATCTTGAATATTACTGTATGTGGTTTACTAATCCTTCATATGTGTATGGATTAGAGAATAATATCTTGCTTACACTAGTGAAATTCATAATTGTTGGAAATATATTAGTTGATCGCTTAATGCTTGACAAAAAGTGTCTCTATGAAGTATGTACATCAGCTTTGTGAGGTGTATATAATTTACTAGATCCCCTACAATATACCTTAAAAGTCAATTACTTACTTACGCGTTCATACATACTATTCTGTAGCAAACAGCCATCGGTTGATGCTGAACACGCTATTAACACAATTACCTACTTTATATTGATGCATCCATCCACTTAGGTCATTCTCCACGACACCCTCAGTCGATAAATATTCACAACTCCGTCATCTATTGCTCTTCACTCTACTGATCTGAGCTAGTATGTGTATCGTTCACTCAATAACAATGGTTCGACTATATTTCGAGAGTGTTTGATTATTGGTAGATTACTTTTTTCGTAAAATTGTTTTTATTTTAACTGACTGATGATTGTCAATAACCGCATTGTTGTATCCGTTTACAATTGGACTGACTGCATTGTTTCGATTGTTTATCCGATAAATGCCTTTAATCAATGTGTTTTACTATTATTATTGTCATCTTGTTTGTTTGTTTTTCTTCTCTTTCATTTCAGATACATGATAAAAGCGTTTCATTTATGCTTAGATCAACTTCATTTACTTTACAAGTGAATATAATTCTGTGTAAATTTTGTTTTATCTCTCGCTATTGAAACATTCATTCATTGTCTGTCTATGTGCATTGAATTATGTATGTAAAGTAGTATGATGATGTTTCGAGTTTTTGCTGTAGTTTTTGTTAGTGTATATTTATTCTGTGAAAGAGATATTTTTATTCATTCAATCCATTCTATCCAGCTTTTGTTCATTTTCTATTTTCTACTTTAATTAATGTGTGTGGTGTGTTACATACAATCAAGATTTCTTATTGAACATGATATTTCTCTGTTCAATAGTATTTTTTTTCCTACACACTTCAGATAATCATGCTTTTAGATATTTGCTTTTTGTATATATCCTTTTGTATCTATTTGCGCATTGCTTGTTGACTTCAAAAACATGCTATTGTACTGTTTGACTTCTTTTATTCAAATATATAAAGTTGTATATGTGTGTGTACAGAATTTTAATCGCCTCACACAATAAGGAGTATTCAGGCCTTTTTAAGGTTTTGTGACCGATGTCAGTAGTGTCCCATTTTATCGTTATATACGAACATTACATAGAAATACCGAAAATTCCACAGACTGTTAACGGCAGCTCATGTCCTTTGCAATTCCAGCAGTAACTAACTAACACCTATATTCCACTTTCGTGTCATATGTTGTCGATAAATTTATGGGGATATTATTTCTAACGAACAAGGCTATCTCACCTCCATGCTTCAGGATTTTGCCATCTTTAACTAATGTGAAATTTTATGAATATCGGAACAATGATAAAGCTATTTCAGAAATAAATATAACTATGGACAATGCACAAATATACACCGAAACAATATGAGATGTTGCTTAAATTTTCAACAGTTTGCATATTCTAGACTTTGGTTATGTAACCGCCAATTATAAAAAGTAACCAATACTTACAAATACGATAAATATGTACTATGTCCTATACACAGTAAATATAGACTATCCGCTTCTTTCCTCACACTTTCCTACAATATCTTTCACTCTCCGATTCACCTAAGCCTCCAAATTCACAAGAATACAAAATATTGTAAATTTGATCATTCTACCGTCCGTGTTCGGAATTTCATACCTAACTTTATCACAACATCCATACGGCTTTTCAACTTCCTATATTTTGTGAGAAACTCAATATTACTTGATTTCCTCACGTTATTCCTACAGCAGTCAATTTATTGCACTCAAGTATGGCGGTATTCTGAATTCCATTATCACGCTTCTTCCTACTTTGTCAAATGTCACTCCTACTCATATATGTTAGTGTGCACTTATTATCGTTCGCTGAAGGCTTGTAATTACCACGAAGAAGAAACCTTTAATCATCGCCAACTCTTGGTGAATCTGTAGAAACTCCGGAAATCAAAATTGTGGCCCACTAAGGTGTAGGCAGTTAGTGCACATGGCTGTTACACTGTTCTTTGTTTAATAATGAAACTCGTGCAACTGTATCAAACAGAGACAGTGCAGCTCCTTTGCGGTTCCTTTATTACTGACCGATTATCTGTTTAACAATGCAGCAACCCTTTCAAATGAAGCTGCCAAAATAACAGGTGAATCTTAAGCATATGATTAGGTTCATAACAAAATAAAACCTACAAACTGGTGCGCTCGTGCCCTCAAAAGTCCAAATAGTGAAGATCTTACCCACATAGAAGCTCAACACGAGTTTCGGAAAAGCATGTCGTGAGCATCCAAACCTCTCATAGCGTGGGAGGGTTGGATATCTCGTCGGGAACAAAAAACATCGGATTGTACAATGTTTCCTGACGTTGGAAAAGCCTTAGACACAGTACCCCATGCACTCTCAGTTGTGAAGGTTTTGCAAATGGACTTCACTGACCCGATGATATCTTGGCTCAGAAACTACCTTAAGAATAGAAAGTTTCGCACAAGGTAATTAGAGTGCACGCGAGTTAGCGAGTCTCAAAATCGGGCGTTTCACAGGAGGCCATCTAAGGTTCACTTCTCTTCTTGATATTCACTAATAATCTGTAAGAAGTAGTTTCCTCACTTGTATTGATCTGTAAGGCCATAAGAAACAACGAGGGTCTGAATGAGCTTCAGAAGGACCTTGCATATATTGAACAGTCGGCAGTTAAAAACGAGGTAAAACTAAGTACTCGAAATGCCACGATATGTGTATTCTATCGCAACCGAAACAAAAAACTTACAGACTCACTGGATGTCTGCTCCCCAATGTCTCCTCACAGAGCTATCTCAGACAAATCACCACTGAAAGCTTAGACACAAGTTTGAACTGTGCCGAGGACGGAGTCAGGGCTAATGCAACTTTTCCATTTATGTGAAGACATCTTGGTACCATCACCACACAATTATTCTTAACGTTTTTTCAAGACATATGCACAACTACACCTTGAGGTCTATGTCGTCATCGTGTAGTGCCTCCCCATATATTTGAGTTTGCTTACACTTAATTTGGTCAAGCCGTTCGATTAATTTATTTAACCTAGCCATTGTATAACAATAATACATATGTACTATTGATTTTTTATTGTCTGGTTTGTATGAGTTGTACGACTGAGCATTGCTTACATTAATTCGCTTACTCATTGTTTTCGCTTTAATATTAATCTTATAAAGCACGATGACTCAAACATTTTACTATGTACGTATATGAACATTTTAACCATTTTAATTCACTCTCCCATTCGCTCATTCGCCCACAAGTGTGCCTGCCAGGTCTGCTTGTGGTCTGATATTCCATTTTGTGGTGTGCCAAAATAAACTTATTCAACACTTCAAGTTCACCTTCTGATTTATAAACCGTCAGACGCAATTTAGTAACGATTGTCTAAACGTGCTCATCACGAAGCTTAAGAACACGTCGAAATCGGTTATTACAGTCGCACCCCATCTCCTTAAAAGTGACAGTTGTCTTGGATCGAGTGCAGACACGAGCAACGAAATAGGTGATAAGGTTGAAAAATAAAACTTACGAAGATAGACTCCAGCACTTGGGATTATCCTCTCCAAGTTACAGGAGTATCACAGGTGATCTGTTAAGTTGATACTAAGCTCACCAAATCATCCCAAAGTGAGCATCTTACCAATGCATCACCACCACGCCTCTCGAGGTTATCCTCGAAAAATTGCGCATCAGAGTGCGAAAACTCAGGTTCATGCACAATTTTTTTTAGTAAAACAGTAAGTGTTTCCATTTCGCCAATTGCTTCCCTTCATAAAAATATTTCACTAAACCCTACTGCTCTAAAACGAACGTAGTCACTCAAATCACGGAACATACGAATTATTTAATTAATTAGTCCGCTGGACACTATCTAATACCTTGAAACGTATCGAAAGAACATAAAACGAGTGCAAGATGGAAAACTGTTTTGTACGAGTTCGTGAAAAAGATATTGGATATTGGAAGTGCTACGGCGGGACTGTTGTTCAAATTCTCTCGCATCTACAGGTGTACTGGTGCTCCAATCGCTCATGTCGGTACGTTTGGTACTCTTCCCATTTTAACCACTACTCTGTTTTAGAACTACCGATTGCTCAAACGTTTGGTCCACGTCGGGAGGGGGAAGCTTAAGAAGTTTGAACAGCAAAGCCCAGGCAAGTTACTTAACCGTCACCTATTGTGTAAGGCCTTAAGTACTTGGGAGGCTATGCGTTCTTCACAGAAATCCCATAGTTGTTGGTCTGTCTTAGAGCAATCGCGCTCAACCAGTTCTGAGTGGGATGAAGATAGTGAATTTATCAGTGTAACAGATTTAACTGTGTCAAGTGTTAGTTGTTCCGATCATATGTCTAGTGCACCTTTAGACAATGTTGATCAGGATAGTGTGTCTAGTAATCATGATTATACTAATCATGAATATGTAAAGTCCCTTTGTCCGAAATCCTAATCATCAACCATGTACATGTGTTTAATGTAATTTCATCCATTTCTTTTTCTTAAAGAATGGGAATTCAGTTTTGCTATTGGTACCATTGTCTTTCCACTTGTGTTTGGTGTGTCATTCGCTCCGTGTCGCAAGATTGACCCTCCAAGCCTCGAGCACTGTGAATCTAATAAATATTTGTACATAGTTTTTTCAAATAAAGAAGATTTTGACTTTCACTTTCCTAGTCTTATGCTGTGGGTTTCGGTGACTTGTATGAGCGATTTGAATATCATGAAGTAGTTGGAATTGAGGTCCATTGATGATTGTTAAACAGACTAACTTATTATAAGTTGTCAGGTTCTTTTGGAAGCTGTTGTCGTACCAGAATAAGACAAATGGTTGCTCGGTTATAGACGGTCGGAAGACTTGTGATTGTGTGCTTGTTTTGTGTTGTCTTCAGAGGTTGTAGGTGCTTTCAATCTTCCCTACTCTCTGTTTGGGTGAACAGTCTTAAAGCACAGGAATTACATAGGGCGTAATAATAGTCCACTGGTTGGAAAGCCGTGACTTTGTATACAAATTACCGGGCTTGGTCGGTTCCAGCCTATAACACCATGTTTATTTTAAGAAATCAGCCTGATGATGTTTTAGTTAACAGTGGGTGTTAGATTCCCATACTCAGTGACCTGGTGTATATAAACCACAGTAATACTGCAATTCTGTCTGCATTGTTGAACTCAATGTAATAGCTCATTTAAATTGGTTTCCGATCATAGGTGTCTTCGAAGCATTGCTCGTATATCCTGGGACAGCCGAGTGAGCAACGCTGTTATTAGGAAACGGGTGCTAGGTAAGAATAGCAAATCAATAGATGGAATATTGAAACTTCATCAGTTGAGGTGGGTGGTTCATGTGCTGCGTCGACGAGCTTTATTTTGTAGTGTAGAAGTAGGTTGGAGGAAATTTAGAGGCTGCCAGACCAAAACATGGCAGAAATCCATGAAGTCATTGACAAGTGGACTGGGTCATGTCGGTAGTTGTCGACCACGTGGTTGGGGTCCGCAAGATGGTAATAATCGAATATCCTCTAATCTTAACCTCTCTGATTACTTGTAATACCTTTATTACCTCTACTGCTATTGTATTTGAGTCGACAATTACATCTCTCTTCTTATGTAGTATGGCAACATGAACTGATGTACGTATGTACGAAGTTCTACGTTGTATCTGTCTGTCTGCTTATTTGAATTTGTATTAACAATCGAAAGTTAGGTGAATATTTCATCTGAAGATTTATCAAATTATATTTGCTAATCAAGAGTTTCTAATACAGCATTGATGGTTCTTTTCTAATCACCAGTCAGCAAGTTGAACTTACGTACGTACATCAAATCAAGTTACCTAGTACCTGTTTCCTAACAGCAGCATTGTTTACTCGATAGTTCCAAGATAAACGAGCGATGCTTCTGAAGCACCTATGATCGAACACCAGTAACCTACGAATATCTCCTACTCTGACTGGTCATGTTTCACAGCCATAAAGTAGGACAGCGAACTGCTGCGCAGTGGTTAGCAGACGGTTACCTCACCCACACCATAAGTAACTCAAGTTGGCAAAAGCCAATCGAACCTTTAGTATCCATGCTGAGATTTCGCCAAATCCCTTAGTGATATAGGCTGCAGAAGCATTACTGGTAATAGGAAAGGTTAGAGATCGAAGATATGATTTGAAAAGTATATCCGAGTGATGTGAATTCGGAAAAAGGTTATGAAGAATTTGGAAGACTAGGGATTGGAAGAATACAAAGAATGGATGATCCTGCGCCAGTGCAAGTAATGTTGAGCTATGTCATTCAGTCTCCAACCACGGGTTACGATTATCTCCCGAACCCATCTACTGATCTACTCAATACTAACATGGCTCAGTCGAGTTGTTAGTGAATTCTTGCTGTGTTTCGTCCTAACCGCCACTAGCTTCCAGCCCACTCTTACATCAGACAACGTTGCTTGTCAAGATAGTCGGTGGTTAGGCGTAAATAATCCATTTCCCAACGGCTTCGACTGATGACCCGACCGTAGCTGCAGATCATGCTGTAGTGCGAGCGCGTATTTGTTTGCAACTTACCGGACGTAGGAAAGACGCTGCAAAGAAACCTCTTACGGTTCTACCTAATGATAGCGTAGCTAAGAATATATTTCAGTAACAACTAGAAAAACAGTTAGGCGACCACGTAAGTGAGTGCCATCCGGAGGCAGCTTGGAATGGTATCGAAAAGGCTGTGGAAACAGCAGCTATATCTGCTAGCAAGGTATACTATAAGTGAGGGAAGAAACCGTGGATCTCAGTAGCATCCACCGAATTGATAGACGCTCGTAAACTCATACCTCCTGGTTCTGAACATGATGGAGAGCGAAGTCAGCTTAGGCGCAGGCTGATACAAAACCTACGTAATGGTCGCGAACAGTGGTGGGTGGAGAACGCGAGAGCGATGGAAAAGGCAGCGTCGACAAGCAACAGCAAACAGTTGTTCCGACTTACCAAGGAAACTGGTATTAGAAATCCATCTGTTAGCGAAACAATCGCATAATAGGATGGCTGTATCATTCATTCTCAGTCCAGGACATTGGATCGATGTGCAGAACACTTCAACCACACTTCGCTTGCCCACGATCTCCTATCACCCTGAATGGCAAACCGGTGTAAGTTGTCCGAGTCTTAATGAAGTTGAAAAAGCTATAGGGAATCTGACGTGAGGGGAGCAGCAGGACCTGACAGATTGACGCCTAAGATTTTTAAGGATGGTGGCCCAGTTTTAACAGTTAGACTGATAGACATCTTAGGTAGAATCTGGCCTCAATCACTGATTGTCCCAATTTACAAGAAAGGACGAAAGTCGTCTTGGGGAGAGCAGACTAGAGAAAACCAGGCTGGTTTCAGACCTGGACGTAGTTGTATAGACCACATCTTCACACTACGTCACGTCCTAGAACAAACACACATGTTCAGACGCCCCATAATAGTAGTATTTTTCAACCTTAAAGCAGCATTCGACTCTGCGGATCGTGAGGTTCTGTGGCAGTATCTGTCATTAAATGGTGTACCAAAGAAGTACATTAAACTTATACAGGCTCAGACAATATCGCTCGTCAAGATAGTCGGCAGGTAGGCGTATATAACCGATTTCCCAACTGCTTAAACTGATGAAGACCCACTACTATTGATTTGCCAACCTTAGTACATTTTCCTTACGCCAGCACTGCTTACTTAGTGACCTCAGGAAACATGAGCAATACATCGTAAACACCCATGAGCAAATGCTCATAAACTAGTAGAAGATATTGGTACTCTGTTTTTAATGACGTTGTTCCGCACGCGTATACTGGAACGCAGTTAAGTCCCATAGTTAACAGACGCATATCTCGCCCACTCATTAAGTGAAACAAGTTGGCCAGTCAAGCCTTCTGTACCCGTGCCGAAATTTCATCACCAGGCAGTCAGCACTGGTGATTCAACACGCTCGACTGCTTCACTCCCTAGCACTAATTTAGGTGCCGATGCAACCCAATCTTCGAGCAGCAGTTTACATTTCCAGGAGCCGCATCCCAAACATATTATGTTGTGGTTTAAGATGGTCAGAGGACTGCATTTCCACAGAGTCTTCACCAAACAGAACTATACTAACTGCATATTTTTAGTCAATAAGTGAATCTGTCGGTGAAATTCCAACGATGAAAGTGTTATCCCTAAAAGCATGTTAATGACAAAATTGAATAAGAATGGGAAAGTGGACAGCCCTGACGAACACCATTCGAGGTAATCAATTCCAATTCCAGTTTGCCATAAACTTTGACTCGACCAGTAGTGTTCGAGTAGAGAGCCTGTACAAGGTTAATGTACTTCTTTGTTGCACCTTACAATAACAGGCACAGCCATTGTACCTCACGATCGACAGAGACGAATGCTACTTTAAGGTGCAGAAAGACAACTATTGTCGGACGCCGAAATGTGTGTTTACGACAGGTCCTAGAACAGTGTGAATATATGGTCTATACAGCCACGTTCAGGTCAAAAACCAATCCGGTTTTCGCGAGCCTGCTCTTCACGTGCTCTAGTTAGGGGTCGGAGTATTATTAAGGCTGATATTTTAGACACTATATTAGTTAAACTAATTTGCCTTCCATGTATCTGGAAGACCTACTACTGCTTCCCGTGGCTTCACAAGTGTAGGTATAGCGTTGAGTTCTGAGGCACAACTAGCTCGCTTAGACTGGATCCCAGTAGGTAGTCGCTTAAACGCTGTCCGACCAAACGGGAGTAAGGATTCAGAAAGATAGGGACACTCGCTGCTGTCTCTTTGTACGCCCCAACTGAGTGCAGCTCGTTTTACCGAAAACATTTCAACCTTCAAAAATTTGGGCGCTCTGATGTAGTAATAATCACTGGTGACTTCAGTGCTCATATAGGTAGACTAAGTGAAAACCGAAAGACGTGGCTGAACCTGATGGAGTTGCGACTCAGAACAAATAATGGCAACCGTCTGCTGCAACTGTGCCCAGACAACCGCCTATTTCTAGCAAGTACAAACTTTAAGCATCAGGAAAAACATCTCTTGACCTAGCGACTCTCAAAGCCGACTCAACTTGACCACATTGTTATCGGCTATCGGAGAGACTCTATTGAAGACTGCCACTCGCTTCGGAGAACGTGTTTAGATTGAGACCATGCTTTACTGCAAGCGCGTATTTTTTGCGTCTCATTGAACGTAGGAATGACGTGGCAAAGAAACCTCTTAGGGTTCTACGGTAAGGCGACCGTGTAAAAGATCCCCATCCTAAGGCGGCTTGGAACGATATCAAAAAAGCCACAGAGACGGCAGTGATATTTGCTAGTAAGGTAAACCGAAAGATTGGGGAGAAACAGTGGATTTCAGTAGCATTTGACGAACTGGTAGATGATCAGAAACTCATCCCGTTTGGCTCTGAGTATACGATAAAGAGCGGAGTCAACTTAAGCTCAGACTGATAAAAAGCTTACGAAATGATTGCGAACAGTAGTGGGTAGCCAAAGCAAGGGAGATGGAAAAGGAAACAGTAGACAACTCTTCAGAATTATCAAGGAGGATGGTATGCTGAATCCGACTGTGAGACTATCTCAGAATAAGATGGACTTATTTTTATTTCTCAATCCAGGAGATTGGATCGATGGGCAGAACAATTTTGGGACAAGTTCGATTGGCCTTCAGCCACACTGAGGTTACCCACGATCTCCGGTCAACCTGAATAGCAAATCGATGCCAGTCCTCCAACTCTGAATGAAGTTGAAAAGGCTGTACGAAATCTAAACCAAGGGAGAGCAGCGGGCACTAATAGGCCAACTCCTGAGATTTTTAAGGATAGTGGTGCAGCTTTAGCGGTTAGATTGGCTGAGATCGGCTGGCTTTGACCGACTTGCGTCACCTATGGCGTAGGCGCGATATTCGTCTGCTAACCAAATGAAAAGTCTACTGAGCAGCAGTTCGCTCCGTCCTACTTTATAACTGTGAAACATGGCCTGTGATAGTAGAGGATATTCGTAGGCCATTAGTATTCCAACATCCGTGTCTTCGAAGCATTGCTCGTATATCCTGGGACAATCGAGTAAGCAATGCAGTTGTTAGGAAACGACTTCTAGATAAGGATGGAAATCAGTTGATGAAGTGATGAATCTTCATCAGGTGAGACGGTTCGGACATGTGTTGCGTATGCTCCAGCACCGACTGCCTCGACGAGCAATGTATTGTGGTGTAGGAATAGGTTGGAATAAAGATAGGGGCGGCCAGATCAAAACATGGCACAAATCGATTAATTTACTGACAAGTGGGTTGAGCCGTGTTGGTGGGCGTAGACTACCTGATTGAGGTCCATGAGATGATAGTAACCGATGATTAGAGACCTTGAATGACACGGTTCAGAATCGCTGGCAATGGCGCAGATACATCCACTCATTGTGTTCTCTCAAATACTAATCTAAACTACTCATGACCATCATCATTTTCGCCTTAAATCTATTTCATTGGATTATACTTCTTGAAAAACATCTTTGGCCCGTGATCTACGCGATTACTGCTCATAATTCTACTGCCTCTGTGGGAATTCATTTGACAGTTGCGTCTATGTGCCAAGGCGATATGGCAACTTGAACTGATGTACGTGCGTAGGATGTACTCCATCGCAACTGTCTGACTGACGTTCCTCCAGGTGACGTGTCTACACAACAATTAACTACCTCCAGTCGAGCAGTTTCCAGAGTCTTATCGATCACAATCCTGCCTAACACCTATGATTGAATAGAAGAGTAGAGAAGGGTAGTTGTATGCCCTCACCGTCTAAAGTGTTTGTGTACATAGCCTTCAAGCTGTTAATAAGCTCCTCAGACACAACCTACAAGAGACTTCCGGAGTGCAGTCCAATCCAGGAAATCGAAGACGACGGGCCACAGGTTTTGAACAATCCACAAAGTATGATGGTCGTTAGCAGTTTGAACCCAATCCAAAGTGGACTAACCTCCGTTAGTTATTGCATGGATAACAGTGACGATTATCGTTTTATCCTAGAATGTCAGGAGAGTGACTAAGTCCCAAATCTTTCTTAGTTAGGTGATTGTTAATAATATGTTTATGATAGGGTCATACAGAGACTACACCATTTTCAAGATTTTCATTGCATTTTTACTTACACGATAAGTCAGAACTAATTGCATCCTCTACTAGATTGTCGTCAGTCTATTACCACCGTTTCTGTAAAAAACTATACTACTGCAATATAAGAAGCATTGCAAAACTGCAGGAGTCACCAGGTAGCTACACCCTAATCTGTACATAAAAAAGGATATTGAAACTATCGTATATTGGAAAATGTGGTTATTTACAAACAAAATCAAGCGAAAATGCGGCTAGTCTTAAGCACTATTAAAAGTGTTGTCTTCTTTACTTAAAATGGACTTCAGTGTTTCAATTGAATATTCAGGACCTTCAGATCGTAGTCCTGTGACTGGATCAACAAGATTACCGACAGGAAATTCGACTTTTTTCAGTTTGTACATGGTATTGAATGCCACCGGTGGGTCAGTCTTCTCAATAAGCACGATATCT